CATGACTAGATTCTAATCCCTTGGGAAAGCGGAAAAGATTTAGCTGGAAAGAGTAGTCTGCCTAATCCCTGATTAATGTAAAAGCCTTTTTGTTTTATTGCAGTCACTGTACTTCTAATGTTGATGTTATGAATTATGAAGGAAATCTCAGCTGGAAAAAGCTTAATGGAGGCGTTCTCTAACAAGCGTGAATCTTTTACCATCCAATACTGAAGAGAGTTTCATTGCTTGTTAATGGCTTTGTCAGCTTCTTTCTTCTCTCTGTAACTTATTTGCTCCCTTCTGGACTATTTAACCGAGCAGCTACTTTACCTCAAAGCTCTAATGGCAAAACTAAAAGCAGTCTGCCATTTCCATCTTCTTCTGTTCATGTTCTTGTTCTCTTTTCATCTTTCAACTCAGCTTCCACCTTCTCAATCCCAAGCCCTTCTGCAAATCCAGAAGCTTCTAAACTACCCTCAAGCTCTAGCCAGCATTGACCATGTCACAGACTTCTGTGACATTGAGTCCACTCCATCTCTTACATTAGCATGCTATGAGGACAATATAACCCAGCTCCACATTGTTGGGGGAACTGGGCACCCCCCATTTCAACAAAATATTTCAACTGACTTTTTATTTTCCTCATTCTCCGAGTTGCCCAATTTGAAAGTACTTACTCTGGTTTCTCTGGGTCTTGAGGGTCCATTGCCTCCAACTGTTGGTAAGCTTTTTTCTCTAGAAATACTCAACATAAGCTCAAATTCATTCTATGGCTCCATTCCGGAGGAGCTTTCTTCTTTGAAAAGCCTCCAGACCCTCATTCTTGACTACAACGATTTCTCTGGTAATATTCCTGGTTGGATTGGTTCACTTCCAGTGTTGAGTACCCTGAGTTTACAGAACAACTCCTTTAATGGGTCCTTGCCAGATTCTATTACCCGTATGGGAAGTCTTCGAGTTCTTACTCTCTCCAAAAATCATCTGTCTGGGAAGGTGCCAGACCTCAGCAACTTAACCAACATGCAAGTCCTTGAGTTGGGGGACAATCTTCTGGGACCTCGGTTCCCTAAATTACCCAAGAGGCTAAGTATACTTGTGCTCAAAAACAACAGATTTCGGTCCGGAATCCCAGCTGAGTTGGGCTTCCTATATCGGCTTGAAAAGCTGGACATATCTTCGAACAAGCTTGTTGGACCGTTTCTGCTATCTCTTTTAGCACTTCCTTCGATTAAGTATCTGAATGTTGGGGGCAACAGATTAACTGGGCTGCTTTACCAGAACATATCTTGCAATAGTGATCTTACTTTTGCAGATTTATCCTCAAATCTTTTGACAGGAGACCTGCCCACATGTCTGCAGCAATTGGGTTCCAAGAACGGTGATATCACTTATGCTGGAAATTGTTTGTCAAATAAAGACCAAGAACAGCACCCCTTAAACTTCTGTCACAATGAAGCTTTGGCGGTGAGGATTGGGCCTCATAATCTGGAGCATAGGAAGGTTCATTCTGAGGTAATGACTTTGTTGCAAATTTTTGGAGGAAGTATTGCTGGAATTATAGTCATTGCTGTGGTGTTCTTAACGATGAGAAGGACATACAGTAAGGGTGTTGTTAAAGAACCTTCTACAAGTACAAGGTTTATAACAGAGAATTCATCTGTAACAGACACGGCCAAGCAGCTGTATGGTGCCAGTAAGATAAATTTACTCTTTTTTCTTTTTCTTTCTGGTTGATGATTTCTTAAACTGGTACTACCTTATCAGAGCAAGAGAACTGAAACGTAGTCAATTTTATTTGTATTATTGCAGTTTCCTCCATAATTATGTATGAATTAGAGCTGTTTAGTCCCTACTGTGAAAGAGCGTCACAAAGCCATGAAGCCTTTCATTTCTACTATAGCCCTTGATAATTTTATATGATCAAGAAATATAGATGCTATGTACATGAAGTTAATTTATTATCTTGCATTTCTTAACTTCCCAGAGGCCAGAGGTCAGAGGTTTGCTTTCTGCATTCTACTAACCCAATAAGTGAATACTGTCAGAAATTGCTTTCTTGATCGCTTACCACATTCTTTTCTAGTAAGTTTTGTTAACTCCCACTACGAGTATGAGTTGCGACATTAAAGTCCTTCATGTACTTGCAGAGTATATTTCTCAGACAATGAAGCTGGGAACTAGTCTTCCTCCTTATCGAACTTTCACCTTGGATGAACTTAAAGAGGCTACCAACAACTTTGATGCTTCGACTTTGATAACTGAAAGTGTGGATGGCCAGGTATCACTTTACAAAGTTAATATATTTTCACCATTCAGCAATTTCTGTATCTCTCTCAGTTTGTGCTGTCTAATCTTACATCTCAGTCACTTTTCTGTATATATTTTTCAAAAAGCATGTCCGAAAAGATATTATTTTTGAAATGGATGTCTATTAAGAACTTACCATCAAAGATAAAAAGTTAACATAAAGATATACGCAACAAGCTCCAGTTGCAAAGATAATATTTTTGGAGAAGGAGATTGATGAGTTAGGAGTACTAGAAAATACAGGACACTTCTGCGGTTCGTTCTACTTGCAGACAAACATACTTTCTTTTCTATTGCACTATTCATGCAAGATATCAGTTACAAGTAGGCGAGTCAAACACGTGCAGAATTAGCTTGTGAAAACGTGATGTATTACCCCAAAATTAAGTTCTTGGAGTTCAATCAACATATTGAAATGTCTGAGCCGAGATTACAGCTAATGATTTAGTGACTTAATCCACATGGTAACTGGTTATTTTGCCTATTCTATCTCTTTGGTGTCTTGAGTACTATTACTACATTAGTCTTGAACTGACTAATGGAACTGACTAATGGGTTCACAAGAAAATTCTCTCTGAACGATAACAGGTATTCAAAGGGATGTTTACAGATGGCAGCGTCGTCGCCATTAGGAGTTTGACTTTGAGAAGGCGGCAAACCCCTCACAGCTACATGCATCAGTTGGAGTTGATATCTAAACTACGACACAGCCATTTGGTCAGCGCTCTTGGACACTGTTACGAGTTCCTTCCAGATGGTTTAACCATCAGCAGAGTATTCCTTATATTCGAGTACTTTCCGTATTGGACACTAAGAAGCCATGTATCTGGTAAAATGATTTTCCTTGGAATAAATCTCAATCCAGCTATGGTATATTTTTTTGTTCATCATAGTACTAAAGGTGCAAAGGATTTAGTAGATGGTGAACTTTTCTGTCTCTGGATATAAGTTTGAAAAAGACTTCATTTTGCAGGGCTACCTGGGCAAAATCTTTCCTGGACAAAAAGATTATCGGCTGCTATCGAAGTGGTGAAGGGTGTGCAGTTCCTACACACCGGAATTGTGCCTGGTGTATACTCAAACAATTTGAAGATTACAGATATTTTACTAGATCAAGATCTCCATGTGAAAATCAGCAGTTATAATTTACCTATCGTAGTCGAACATGGTGGAACGGTATGATACACCTAAGAAGAGTATCTCATATACATGTTTTCTTTGCATAAATAATGTCACAATAATTAATGTAATGATATATTACTTTGCCTTTCAGATGACTTCAGGAGTTTCATTCATTGGTACAAAAGGGAAGCGCCATGCTACGGGGTAAGATTGATTATTATTATTATTATTATTTTTTGGTAATATGATATAAATATTTGGAGTTTAAACTGCATCTCTACCTACGCCAATCTTTGTTTAACATAGAAATGTTTCTGAATGAAAATTTCAGTTTTTATTATCTTCCTTCCACAGCTATCTTTGTTGCTGCAACTCAATTTTAACGACCTCTCGTATCACTCGATTTCTTTTTTCAAGAATTTTCTTTGTGACGCCCTCTCCTATCACACCATAGAAAATGAAAGGAGTAATTTCAAAATGGTACTTTAGGCAAAAAAAAAGTACATAACTTGAATGTTTTTGGCGTTCTATGTGTTTGCAGAGTAAATCATGCAGATAAGAATGATGTCTATGGCATAGGAGTGATATTACTGGAAATAATTTTGGGAAGACAGATCACATCCCAAAATGAAGTTCATGTTTCAAGAGATCTTGTAAGTACATTTTTATCTTGTCATTGCCTCCCAAAGTCACTTTCAAGAACAGGTTGAAATCCTTAAGCACTTAGCAACTATTAATATTTATTGTTTCTTTTTTTAAAAACATTCCCAAAATTATATTGGGTAAAAAGTTGCAAAACTAGAATTTCAGCAATTTAGGGAATTTGATCATGTTCCTCCTCTTCAGCTGCAGGTAAGCCTAAAAACAGATGAAATAGCTCGAAAGAGCATCGCGGATCGAGCAGTACACAAGGGGTGCTCAGATGAATCGTTAAAGACGACGATGGAAATATGCCTAAGATGCCTCCATGAGAAGCCAGCAGATAGACCTTCCGTAGAAGATATCCTTTGGAATTTGCATTTTGCAGGGCAAGTTCAGGACTCAAGCAGAGACCACACTCAGAACAGCCAAGACTCACCTGCAACTGCATCACCATCCCAAGAAATGCTCTAAAAAGGGAAAAACGGTACTCATATTCAACTCCTCCTCATTTCGTGAACTTATAAACCAATTTTTGTTCTTCAAGTTCAGTCTGTTATCTCCTTAGGAAACAACTGTAGCCTGCTCAAATTTCACATTACATTATGTCATTATCTTATCAACTTCAAATTGACCGATTGATAATAGTCGCACACCAAGTTAGATAAAATATAATTGGTGCGGTGTAAAGAATCCTTACATGTAATGTTTGTTTAAGACGAACCTTAAGGTCAAAGGAGAGAATTTGTCCATACTCTTTTTTTCACGCCATTATTTTGTATATATAAATAATTCTCTAATACTGCTTGACTTCGCATTATTTAATGATATTGACGTGGGAATGGAGAAGCCTAGAAGATAACGTGGAAATCGATGTTTCTAGAAGATGCCAAGGGAGTAGGTATCTAATTTATGGTTTTTGATTGTTTCTAGGTAATCATTGAAGGGCATTCTTTTGAGTAACCAACCATTTTATTTTTCAATGTTCTCACACTTTGTCGGTTCTTAGAATGATGGAGTGGATTTTGTCATGAACGTAAAGAACCAAATAACAACCATTATGGTTAGTCTGAAATTACTTTTTTTTTTTAATTATTGGTC